TCACTTACCTCTTGGCTTTCCTCACTCCCTGCCCCTCCTTGGCCCCTTCAGCCCCACTCCCCACCCTGTGTCTGCTCTGCTTACTGGTGGCTGTGGACTCGCCTCATTCCTTTCTGGGCCTGTGTCCAGAGGGCTGGCCAGAACCTCATCTGAGTTCAGAGCAAAAACAGCCTGGACTCCCTAGAGTTTTTACCACGTCTGTTGTGTGAGGCATAGGGGCTTGGTAAGCCGTTCCTTCCCTAGGCCCTTGGGCTCTTGCACATCAGTGGAGCGGTGGGGAGCAGGCTGTAAGTCCTGCACTGATTGTGTTCCCTTGAGAGACTCTGGGCTCCAAGCGTCTCAGTTTCCCCTCTAACTTGGGTGATGACATTCTTGGAATTGTCAGGATAAATACAGTATCCTAAGGGGTCTGTAGGTTACCATTACAGGGCAAGGGCTGGATACCGTAACGGGGCCAAGCAGGCCGGGAACACTGTTGAAGCAGGTGAGGTAGGTAGGCCTGCGATGACAGGGTGGTCTGTGCGACGCCAGGGTCAGTCAGGCGGTGAGCGCTTGCTGTGTGTGTGTTGAGTGGGCAAGGGGGCTGGACGGGCCAGTACGCCTCCGCTCAGCTTGCACTTGGGCAGGAGGCCCCCCCTGACTTTGAGGACCCACAGTGAACACTCTCCCTCCCGTCAGCTCAGTTTCTCATTTTCGCCTCACAGCTGAGCCTCCAGGGGATTTTCAGTCTGTAAATTGCACAGAAGGAGATGCATTGTCTCTGTGCCGCAGAGCAGCTGATGGACTCTAACCTCTGGGTTGGCAGCGACCACCAGAGCGAGTCAGACATTCTTGAGTGGGAAGACAGCAGGGCAGTCAGGGTTGTGAATGCAGAGCAGTTGCCCCAGGAGGTGGGTGTGGGGGGCTTGGCCCTTTGAGGTCATAGGTCAAGAGGGCCCTGAGGATAAGACATTGGAGCCACAGGGAGCATTGCCAGGGAGGCCCAGCCCGAAGGGAGTGGGGCCAGGGTGAAGCCCGAGGCCCAAGTCTGCCCCCTTCTCTTACCGTACAGCCCCCTGGAGTCTTCTGTCTCCATGAAGTGCAGGATATGGGTGAACACTCCGGCTTTTTTGTGCAGCAGTGACCACATTCACTCACGTGTACATGTGATGTGAGACTCCAGTGCCGCGGCCTGGCCTCCGTTCAGCCAGTATCCCTCATATAACTTGTGTGTTTGTCCCCCCATCCACCCACCCCTCCATGAAGGAAGAATAAGGCAGTTGCCCCACCACCCCCAAGCTTGATCACTTCCTGAGAACCCTGATAACATCTAAGCTGGTCATATCAAAGAGCAGACAATGGATAGTGATAAGAATCTGAGCTTGGAAAAAAGGTGCTAAAACCTAACCTAATTAACAGGTCAAATTCCGAGAAATACCATCTTAGTCCTCGCAGGACCCCTAGAAAAAGGAAACCCCCCCAAACTGCCCATGGGCCATTTGAATCCTGTCTGCATGCCATGCTGCTGGGTCACTTGGCATCTGAGGTCCCTCTCAGACCTTGGAATAAAGGCCTGTTCATTCTTGGGACAAATTCTTTTCTTTATTTCTCTCCCTTGTGCCCTCCCACTCTTTTTTTTATATCTAACAATCCATCCAAACGCCCACCCACCTGTCCCTCTGTTCATCCATTCACTCGGCCATCGCGGTTCACCCCCAACCCATGCACCCACCCACCCACCTGTCCTTCCACCTACTCCCTCATGTGTCCACCCATCTATCCACCCATCCACCTGTCCATCCACTCACCCATTCACCCCTCCATTTACCCACCACCCATCCACCCTTCCATCTGGATCCCTACAGAAGAATGAGGTGTAGCTTACAGGGTGGCTAGCACACAGCCAGGCAGCAGCCCACCCCTCATGCAAGGCAGACGCCTGCTCTCCCACACACACTGCCCACGCCCTGCACTGGCCAGTACTTACTATTGCCCTGACCCTCCATCACCTGATCACGACTGCGAGTCTTAGGAGGAGGAGACTGCTGTCTGTCCTGAGGAGCAGCAGGTGGGGTCACACTGCCAGGGATGTGCAGCCTTTGGTGTCAGGTCACACAATACGCTCAGTACCAGGAAGGTGGAGATGAGAGACAGCCCTGCCCACTAGAGGTCCCCAGTTTAATGGACACGCAGACAGAAAACCCCACTTGGCTCTCAGAGGTGCGTGGGCTGGGCGGCCTGCAGAGATTTCAGAAAGAAAGTAGGACTTCAGCTGACGAGGAGTTAGACTGCTCACCGGGGAAGAAGAGGCTCTGCCCACACCAGGGTCTTCTTGTCACTTACATTCCTCCCATTTTCTTCTTCTTTTTTAAAATTTTATTATTTGTGTGTGTGTGTGTGTGTACCGTCAAATCGGATCTGACTGGTACAGGAAGAGATTGTCCTTCCTTCCCCGGCAGAGCATCTGGTGGATTCGAGCCATGCGACTCTGGGATTGTAGTGCAGCTTCTTGCCACTAGGCCACCAGAGCTCCCCCATTCCCCCCATTTTCAAGTCTCTGAACCCCCACTCACAATGCAGAACTTTTCTTTCCCACAGGAAGCAGGTCTGATAGAACTAGGCTGTAGTCCCAGCCAGAGGTGCAGCCATCCACACAGGGTGAGATCCAGTTTACAGATGTCTTAGGCTGTGTGTTAGGGACACGACTCTGGTCACTTAAAAGTGCCTGTGCTCTCTGTGGAGTAAGTGCTGCAGTGCTGAGATGTGAGGGGCCTTGGTGGGCAGGAGGATGCCTGGCTGTCCATTGCAGTGCCTACCAGTTCCTGGCCCTTGTGCCTGCCCTTGCCCGACCCCCAAATAAAGGTTTCCCTTGCCTATAGCTGGTCTTGCCCTGGCTCTGCCCATTGGGCTGCAAGGCCTGGCCTCCCCTTCTTTGAAGACCAGCTGCCTGTCTTGACCGGCTGTAGCTTCCATGGGCCTGCTTGGTGGCACCAAGGCCATTGGCCGGCCCTCACCAACGTGGCAGCCTGGCTGTGGAAGTGAAACAACCATAATTATAAAGACACACTGCTCCACGGTGCTGGTGCTGTGCAGACAGGGGTCGGGAGGATTATGTGGTTCTTGAGAAGTCAGGAGCAGGGACCTTCCTGAGCTCCAGAGGAGGGGCAGGTGCATCTGGGGGTGCGGGAGAAGGTCTCAGCAGGGCAGAGGAGGGAAGGCAAAGATGTCAGCTCTGCTAGAGAAGGGTGGGGGGTGTCAGTGCTTGGTGGGGGTGTGTCAGTCTCTAGTGGAGGAGTGAGTGTGTCAGGTCCTGGTGAGGGGAGTGAGTGTGTCAGGCCCTGGCCAGGGGGGGTGAGTGTGTCAGGTCCTGGTCAGGGGGGGTGAGTGTGTCAGGTCCTGGTGAGAGAATGAGTGTGTCAGGCCCTGGTGAGGGGATGAGTGTGTCAAGTCCTGGTGAGAGAGTGAGTGTGTCAGGCCCTGGTGAGGGGGGGGTGATTGTGTCAGGTCCTGGTTGGGGGGGTGAGTGTGTCAGACCCTGGTGAGAGAGTGAGTGTGTCAGGCCCTGGTGAGGGGGTGATTGTGTCAGGCCCTGGTGAGGGGGGTGAGTGTGTCAGGTCCTGGTGGAGGAATGAGTGTGTCAGAGGAACTTGGGGAGATGAACCCTGTTCCGCAGGCACAGGGATACCCCAGAGAGCATCACACGCCCACATAGGGTCTGTCCATAGGGATGGCCTCCTCCAGACTTGGCCGGGGAGCTCCTGGGGTGGGGGGCCCTGTGCTCACATGGTTTAGGACTGAAGGCTTGAATCCGAGTGCCTCATATTGACGTTAACACAAGGCAGGTCTCTTGTCCCCTTGAGCTCCAGGCTTGCTTGGCGCCCTCATCTGTGCACAGGACTCCCGGGGCCCATCCAGGCTGTTGTGGCCAGTGGATAAGTTGATGGACACCCAGTGGCGTGCTTGTCATAATTGGTGGAGGAGTGAGTGCTATGGTCTGTGGGCAGGAGAGAGCTGAGGTCCCAGGAGACTGCTCTGTCCCTCACTGCCCTGTGACTGCAGGTGGATGAGGCTCTGGGGTCCCAGCAGCAGGGCAGGGACAGCAGGACCTGAGGCCTGGGAGGGAGCTGGTGGTCCAGGAAGAGACCTGAGGCCCAGTGCCAAGGGCTGTGTTCCACTGATTGTTCCCAAGGGGCTGCTCCAGCCAGGGCTGTGGGTGTCGCCCATCAATCTCCTGTCACTTTGTCTTCTGAGAGTTCAAGTTCCACTCCCATGGAGTACTGCCCTGCCCTCAGCTCACCACCGTCCCCCTCGGACCCCTCCTCACCGCTGTCCACCTCGGTCCCCTCCTTACCGCCGCCCCCCTCGGCCCCCTCCTTACCGCCGTCCTCCTCAGCCCCCTCCTCAGTGCCGTCTTCCTCTCCATCATCCTCCTCGGCCCCTTCCTCACTGCCATCCACCTCGGTCCCCTCCTCACCGCCGTCCACCTCGGTCCCCTCCTCACCGCCATCCACCTCAGCCCCCAGCTCACCACCCTCCACCTCACTCCCCTCCTCACCACTGTCCTTCTTGGCCCCCTGCTCACCACATCCATCTCAGCCTGACCTCTCACCACCACCCTCCTCTGTCCCTTTGCTCCCCACCATCTCTTTGCCGCTGCCCCTGCCGCAGGCCCTATAGGAAAGGGGAATGGCATGCTTAAAGCAGCTAGGAGCCTCCCAACATCAAGCCCCTGGCCTGTGTGCAGGAGGGTCCAGCAGGGGGTGACCCCTGGACTGGGGCATGGTGACCCTTGAAATGGCATGTGGTGACTTCTGAACTTGTATATGGATGATGACCTCACCTGGTTGGTACATCATGCAGCCCCCTCGCCCACCTTGCCCTGCTGAGCTGTGGGGTGTGTGGTGATCCCTGGACCTGGATGTAAGGTGACGACACCCCCTGGTTGGTACATCATGCAGCCCCCTTGCCCACCCCACCCTGATGAGGTGCAAACAAGCACCTGTTCTCGTCTCCCTCCCCAGATGAAGGTGGCAGTGGCCAGGGGTGGTGACAGGACCAGTGACAACGACAGCACGCATGAGGCCACCAGCTCCAGGCACAGCAGCTCCCGGGACCAGCTCAGTGATGTGAGTATGGGCTCGCTGTGGGAGGCCAGCTCAGAACAGCATGGTGACCCACGAGGACATCTGCAATCACAGGTCACTAGAACTCAGACTGGATCCTACCAGGAGGGAACCAGCTGAAGAGTGGGTTAGCAGGTGACAGCTCAAAGGTGCTGCCCTGCAGCTGTGCTGAGGCCAGGGACTCGGGGGCCTGTGGGGACAGGGACTGGCGGAGACAGGGATGAGTGGTCAGTGAGGACAGGGACTAGAGGTCACATGGACACAGGGACTGGGGGTCACATGGGGACAGGAATAAGGGGTCACAGGGAGAGGGACAAGGGGTCATGCGGGGACAGGTATGAGAGGTCATGTGCGGACAAGGCCTGGGAGGTGTGTGGGGACTGGGACTAGATGTCGTGTGGGTGCAGGACTGGTGGTCTTGCTGACCCAGCTTCTCGCAGACCACTGCACCTGTCTCTGATTCCGTCCCTGTGGGAAAGCACCACGCCCCCAGCCTGCTGAAAGTGGTACCAGGAGGGATGGTGTGTTGGGAACATGAGTGGGGAGTGCTCCGGATCATGCACTCCTCGCCACAGTAACGTAACCCGGTGCAGCCCATCCTCCCTGATGTTGGGTATCCCAGTGCCCCACCCCTGAGGCTCAGCTGCAGGTCCTTGCCGCCCCAGGCAGTGTCCTGGAGATGGGGTGTCTGAGCACCAAGCAGAGCCTTAGTCATCACTGTGCGGCCAGTCTGTGGGAGCCCCCCTGAGCAGGCGGGCATGGCCCTCTTGCTGCCTCACCGATCTTGGGTGCCCTGGGCCTCCCAGGGATCCCGCCTGTGCTCAAGGATACACAGGGCTGCAAGATGGCTTGACCCCTAGAGAGGGTCTGTGAGGGAAGGACACAGGGTGAGGGCCCCATGCCAGGGTCCCTGAAGGAGGCTAAACCTCAGCTCCAGTGTCAGAGTGAGGCTATGAACCAGTGCTGGACCCTGGCCCCCTCCTGGGCCCGTACCCCACCCTTCTAAGCCAGCCCTCACTCTGAAGGTAGGACAGTCTTCCCATTTCCCCCGCACTGGCCCCCAGCTCGCAGGGATTCTCCTTCACCTTGAATCGGGCTTTTGCCCCATCCCTGGAGGCCTGGCCTGGCCCTGTCAGAGCTGAGAGCTGTCCCTCTTCTGCAAAGAGAGAAAGCTTGCCTGCCTGGGACTCACGTACTGACATGGCCTCGGCCCACCGGTGTCATGGCATCCAAGGGTGATAACCTTCTTTCCTGGCCATGCCCTCCAATGGGACACACTGGGGAGAGGCCCTTTCAGGTGGAGGAGGTCAAAACTGGGCCAGCAGGTGAGGTGGACATGCAGGGCAAGGCCAGCCTGGGCGCCGAGGATCTTCCTCCACCCAGAAACTCCGTCAGGGGTCAACACCTGCTGACCCTGGGGTCCTGCCAGTCCTGGGCCTGCCCTGAGGAGGACGCAGAGCTGGCCATACCCCAGGCTGCCCATATGGCACCAGTGAGAGGAGATGGGCTGTTGGACAGTAGGCTCCACCTGGGACACTTGGTGTCCGGCCTGGGCCCAGCCTGTTTCTGAAGCAGCTGCCACAAGAGGGGTGCTCAGTTTGTAAGGCGGGTTCCCTGGACCCTGTTAGGGGTCAGGGGCTGAACAAGCCCTCGGAAGGGCAGGGTCAGCAGAGGAAGGAGCTGGCATGCATGGCGCCAGCCTGTCCTGACTGTCCCCTTCCTCCGCAGAGCTCGGCGCAGGCAGTCTCCGGAAGAGGCTACTCGGTGAGTGCCCCGTGGGGGCCCATGCCATGGGAGCCCCCCACCGAGAGTGGGCCCCACCCCTCCAAGCTCCCCTAGAGCCCTCCACCCCACAACTTTGTTGAATCTAGCTTCAGCAGTTGTGCAGATGGACAAGGGTCCTTGAGAAGGTCAAGTGGGAGGAGGGGTCTTTACAGGGTTAGGTGTGAGGAGGGGTGTGTACAAGGGATCAGGTGTGAGGGGGGTCAGGTGTGAGGAG